GGTTTGGGAGTGTTGGGGGGTGTTGGTGGGGTTATTGGGGGTTATGGACTCCCAGAAGAAAAAAAAAATGAGGATTTTTTTTGTTTATTTGTTTTGTTTTGCGGGGTGCCGACGACCCCCTAGTGGTAGGTGCCGACCACCTGACCAATCAGGTGGTTGGCAGCCGATGGGGTATGCAACACTGAGGCAGAGTAAAAAGAAGAAGACGAGGAGAGGAAGAAGAAGAAGAAATAGAAGGAAAAGTAGAAAAGGAAAGGAGGAAGAAGAAGAACAAGATGGAGAGGAGGTAGGGCGATGGGGGACCATGGAGGTTGATTGGGGGCGGAGGAGGTGTGGTGAAGAGGACGAGGGCGATGGGGCAAGTTCGAACCGCAGGGAATGGCAAAGAAAAAAGCAATTGACGGTGGAAATTCTAGAAAAAAGAAGAAAACGGCACGCAGACTTACTTCCTTCCACACTGGTGGGTTCTTTCGGCGGTCTTGGGGGTGATGGCGGGCTTGGGGGCATTGCCTGCAGCAGCACGCGGGCGATGCTGCAGCTTGGTAAAGGGGAGCACACCTGCACTAGCACGCGCAAATCACAAAGCAAATGTGCGAGGGGGGAGGTCGGACACGCGGGAGTTGGCCAGTATGCCCCGAATTGCAAGTGAAACGAAGTGGCCAATCCTTGCCGCTGATCTGGCAAGATCAGCGACCAACATCAGCCATGTTGTTTCGCTTGGAATGCGCGCATTGCGCGGTCTACTGGCCCTGTTTTTTCAATTTTGGAGTGGCGGCGGCCTCCACAAGGCTGCAGGAGCCCGCTCAGCCACTTTCCCGCCTGGCACCTGCCCCAGCCAAAATGCGCTGGGGCGGAGGGTAGTCTACTGGACTGGTCCATCTAGGAGGCTCCCAGTTGGGGTAGGGTCCCCTGGTCCATCCGGGGACCAGCCCTTAAGGGCCTTAACCAACCTTTTTTTTTTTTTTTTTTTTTTTTTTTCAGGAAACCACTGCCTTTGATTGTGACATTGTGTCCGAATTTTGTTTTGCGTGAACTCCGTGAAGTCGGACACGGCTTTACCTAAACGAATCTGTGAGTGTGACATTGCGTCCCGTCCTTGATATCTGTGAATGCTGTGAAGTTGTTTGCTGACCCCTCTGTCCATCTGTGACGGCGTGATAAGCAGAGATAAGCAGGGATCGGATGAGATCCCATCTCGGCTTATCCCATCTGTGTTCAGAGTGTGGGGGCTCCATTTTCTAAACCCTAATGTTAAGTGAAAACAGGCGCATGTGCCTGAAAATGTTGTATATAAAATTTTTAATGGATCGTATCGTAAAATTATTATTAAAATAATCCAATACAATAAATGACTAAGTCTATGCCAAAGCTAGCCCTCTAAAAGAGAAAAAAAGAAAAAACGAAGTTAGCCCCCTACCGGGCCTACCCCCTTAAATGAGAAACCAGGCTGCCTGAGTTGTTGGCGGCTTGGCTTTTTGCCCTTGGCAGCACAGCCATGAACTTTGATGGGTGGCTACAGTGATGTTCCGCATTTGCTACATAGTGCAAGCAAAGCTTTATATTCATGGCAGATTGAAGACTGTCATGCGACACGGGCACTTTATTTGGAGCAACTTTCAGTCTAGAATCTAGATACAGCAATAATGACCGTGTGTTCTATTTGGGGGAAGATGGTGGCAAGAAAGTGGATGGTGGGTGTTGAAGCCAGAGTAGAGGACAGAGAGGAATGGGAGAAGGTCCGCTGGCCAGATCCGGATGCCAGGAGGGACAGAAGCAGGAAAGGGGAGGGGGGATGAGGGAGGGACGGGGGGTGGGGAGGGGAGGTTTAAAGGTGCAAAAAGGATAAAAAGTCATGGAAGACAGGCCAGGTTGACCCCTACCACTCCTAGGTGATCCAGCCGATCTTGGTGTGTGTCACAGAGGTGTCTGTCAAATATGCTCTCGGGGTTTAAGGGTACGGAATCGTAGGGTGAAGGCAGGGTTGTTGAAAGTAGATCGGGTGGTTACTGTTGAGTTAGCTGTATTGCTTGTCGACTGTTTGTTGAGATTGGTTGAGAGTTTTTTTTTTTTTTTTTTTTTTTTTTTTTTCAAGTATAGATTTGTTGAGGTGTACTGGGTGGTATTGAAGAAGGTATGCTAACGAGTAGTGTAATCAGAAGTGCTGTAGTACCGAGGGAATAGTACAACGGGCAGTATTATCTGTCGGACAGTGCCATGGTTCCGAAAGGAATTTTTCTGTCCCCGGTAACTTGCAGCCTGGTTCCACCAAGTTGAGTTTTTGAACAGGTGGACTCAGCCTAGACCCGGTGGGACCGGTACCGGCCCCTAGGTTTTTTGCTAGTAGGCATGCTTGACTCGTGATTAGTAATGTTTTTCGTTCCTATAAGTACGTTTGGTACGAATTAGTTAGGCCTCTTACGGTACTTTCACCATCCGCAGACGCTAATCTTGTTAGTGAACGTGGAGGCGAAAGGAGGAATGGGGGATGAACGGTGTCATTGGGTTGTGGAATGTACTGTGGACCTGTAACGATGCTATGATTTGGACCGAACGTACTTGTCACTCCTTGTCTACTTGACTTGAGATTGGCTTACTCTGTTGTGAGTTGCATCCGTACAATACAATACAGTACTGGGTGGGATTCATTGACAAACTTTACCTTTTTTGTGATTTGTAGAGTTTTTTTGGAACATGTGACATTCAGCAGGGACATGACATGATCATGTATTGACTAAGTGCGGCTGGTTGGGGTGACTTGCTATTGGCTTTGGTGGTGTTGTTTTTGCTGGTGATCGGCTAACGCACAGAGTGACGACTTTCATGATTTGCTGGAGGGAAAGGATATCCTCGCTGTTCTTCCAGTGCTTGTTCAATGGTGCATGACAATAGGTAATTTGCCTGATAAATTGTCGCTATTTCATTGCCGATATGATATTATAATATAGTGCAATGACCTGCACAGCTGTAGTCTCACATTTTTGCGTTTTCTGAGTCGATGCCGTCTCTTTTGGCGTGATTTGCTGTGATTTCCGAGTCAGAGTCTGTTTAGGTGTGTGGCCTTTATGTACGAGAGAGTCTATCTGATGCTTGCTGAGCCTGACTCTGTGTCTGTGCGCTAACTCTGTTCTCGTTCTGTGTTTCTGTGCCCTGGTAGGGTTAGAAGTTAGAACTGCAAACAGGCGTAGTTAAAGGGCAGGGGCGAAATTTGGACGTCGGATGGACGGACAGGGGCAAAAGTAGAATTTTTTTAGGGACCCAGCGGGGACATTCCTGTAACTTGGGTAGGTCCGGAGGTCCAGTGGGCTAGCAGGTACAGTCATGATGGTACTGGTCTGTATGTAGTCAGGATAAGTCGTAGATATGGGTCTGTCAGGTAGGGTTGCAGTCTGCAATGATGTTCCTGCCGAATGGAGGGAATTGAGGATAGAGGCTGGAGGCAAGAGTATATCATTCAGTGCAATGAGTAGTCCGGGTATTCGCCCAGCAGTCATGCTGCTACTGCGCCCTGAGGAGGAGTGAGGCAAAGCACTGGGTGGAAGGAGGAGCTGAGGGTGAAGAAGAAGACCTCCATTTCTGTGGAGGATTAGGAGGGAGAAGGCCGAGGCTATGAAGGCAGAGGGAGAAGGAGCTCGAACGGTTGAAGGGGAGAATAGAGTTAGAGGAGGAGGAAGAAGAAAGGAAACGACAGAGAGGCTTGCCTTTGGTTATGGTGGACCTTCATCTCCACTTCCTTGGTCGGTGCTGCATCTAGGTGGCCCCTCCAGGGGTACCGGTTGGACATGGACATTATCCAGGAGTGTGTCTAGGGCGGTAGGAGATGGGAGAGGCTTGGTAGCGGTGCATTGTCCTCTTCACATCTGTGCTAGGCATGTTTGAACCACCATGCGAAGTTGTGCTGCTATAAGGAGAGGGAAGAGAGAGAGAAAAAGCTCTAAAGTGGAGTTCTTTGAGTGCTGGCAGTGAGGGGATCATTCAGTCATTAATGCTTCTTCGTCCAGTCCAGTCGTTTATTATGTTATTAATGTATTTCTTGTTAAGAAGAGTAGGAGGCAATTACGTAAGGGAGATGATGATGGTGAGAGGAGAGAACTGACATTAGTTCAATCTTGCGCTCTTTTTCTTCTTCCTTGTCTTTTATTCATTCTTCATGCCTATAGTCGTTGTACAAAAATGAAGCTAGTATATGTACTAGCCTAATGCTAACAGCAATGACGATTGCAGACTGCTCTTGATGTGCAGAAAATATGCACGATGAGCAGTAATAAGCTAGGTCTTACACCCATGAACTGTTGGAAAAAAAAAAAAAAAGCTGTCTTCTCTGACTGCCACAGGCTTGCAGATACTTGGAGAGCTTGAGAAAGACGATCGATCTGCTTTTACAGCGAAAATTTGAAAATGGATGGAAGGCGGCAATGCATGGTGTGAGGGATGGAAGGAGATCAAAGGTCTACAGGAGAATCAGAAGTGCTGCATAACGGGAAGAGCGTCAAATTAGGGGATTGCAAATCATTTCTGGAGAGAGTGGGGGGAGAAGTCAAGGTTGTACGTACACCTGTGCCACTAGACAAACAAGAACTTGATCAGAGAAACCTTGTGTCACTACTGAAGCAACTGAGGAAACATGGAAAATGTTGTACCCCGCAAATAATTTCAGCAGGAAGGCATCCCGATCCTCTCTGTGGAGCTCTCTCTTCGGAGCTACTAGGAAAGGATACGGAATGAACATAGCCTACAGAATGATCATCCGAATCAAGTTCGATGATAGAATCAGCCTCATCGGCATTCGTAGGTTAGGGGGTTATCCAGAGGTTATGGGTTTGTTAGTTCTCTTTTTCTAAGCCTGAGCAGTCTTCCATTCGCTAGAGTCAGTCCCTTCCCTTTAGTCCGCATGTATCTGACTGTATATGAGGGACGATGCAGAGGCCCGGTGGCCGTCATCTAGGCCAGGTACACTTGGGCACCAGTCTTTCCATTCAGTAGGAGACTGGGCGCCAGATTTCAGTTCTCCTGGGTACCATGTTTGCCACATTTTCCAGTTTGGGCACCAGTTCTCCTGGGTGCCAGTTTGCCACATTTTTCAGATTCAGTTTGGGCGGCGGTTCTCCAGTCTGGTTGCCAGTCTGTCACATTCTCCGATTCAGCTTGGACGCCAGTTCTCCTACCCTCCTTCGGCCTAGCACAGGAGGCCCAGCGTTATTATAGCTGGGCCAGTCTCATTGTGGGCATACAAAGTTAGAGGTTGACATCTTCACGCTGCTCGGCAACGCTGCTTCCGTCGAGAGTAGGTAGAGTAGTGGAGTAGGAGGTTGAGGGCGGAGGCCAGGCTATGGGCGGCGTACCTGCAGACTTACCTGGCGCCATCGCTCCTGCTTGTCTTCAGGCGTCTTCCACCTGCATCACAGCTCCAAGGAGACACCTTGTGAGACCATGAGAGGATTCTTCTTCTTCGTCGTCTCCCTCCAGCTCCACCACTTCTCCTCCTCCTGCCTCCCTCTTCTTCTTCTTCTTCTTCTCTGCGTGTGTGTGTGTGTGTGTGTGTGTGTGTGTGTGTGTGTGTG